CATCCATCCATCCATCCATCCATTCATTCATTCATTCATTCATTCATCCATCCATCCATCCATCCATCCATCATTTTTACCAGCTTCTTTCTTTTCATGTCGTGGGGATCACTGGAGTCCATATCCAGCAGTCACTGTGTGAGAGGTGGGGGACACTCTGGACAGGTCTCTAGTCCATCAAAGGGACACAAAGAGACAAACGAGACAAACATCCATTCACTGTCTCACTCACACCTAGGGACAATTTAGAGTTACCAATCAACCTAACATACATGTTTTTAGTCTGTGGGAGGAAACCAGAGCACCTGGAGAAAACCCACGCATGCACAGAGAGAACATGCAAACTCCACCCAGAAAGGCCCTAGGCGAGGATTTGAACCAGTGGCCTTCTCGCTGCGATGCAACAGCTCTACCAACTGAGCTACTGTGCCATTTATTTCAGTCATTTTGGATCAAAATGTTCAACTCATTAGGATCATTATGGCTATGATTTTTGGTTTCTGTAATTTTTATACATTTTGAATTGTTTAATTTTTCAATGTTCAAGGTTCTTTATTGTCATTCACATCACATGTGATACATGAGATGGAAGGAAATTGTGTACTCAAGGTCCTAGTTACAGGTCCTTCATGATGCAGGTGGCCCTCTTCTTACATCTGGAGGTGTAGATGTTTGTGATGGTGGAGAGATTGACTCCAACAGTCTTCTGTGCAGCCTTCACCACTCTCTGCAAAGCTTTTGTTTCTGCAGCTGTGCAGCCTCCATGACACATGTTGATGCTGGCTGTTTTACATTATTACCCATAGGAATGTTAGAGATTTTTCAGATCCTTGCAAAATATATACATATTTTAAATCTCCTTCAGCATACTTGCTTCATTTTTAGCTTTTAGCTACTGTTTTGCTAATTTTATCTTTCAGCTACTTTTTTTTGCTAATTTTAGCTTTTAGTTACTGCATTGCTAGTTTTAGCTTTTAGTTACTGTATTGCTAGTTTTAGCTTTTAGTTACTGTATTGCTAGTTTTAGCTTTTAGTTACTGTATTGCTAGTTTTAGCTTTTAGTTACTGTATTGCTAGTTTTTGCTTTTAGTTACTGCATTGCTAGTTTTAGCTTTTAGTTACTGTATTGCTAGTTTTAGCTTTTAGTTACTGCATTGCTAGTTTTAGCTTTTAGTTACTGTATTGCTAGTTTTAGCTTTTAGTTACTGTATTGCTAGTTTTAGTTCACACTGCATTTGGCAGAAAATGCTCATTTTACTAGTTGGAGTTAGTGTCCTACCTGATCATATCCTTCCTCTCTTCCTGACCCGTCTTGTCTTCATCGGTGGTCTCCTGCAGTCTGAGACCACCCAGGAACTGGTTCAAGTCTCCGTTTTCCATGTACTCTGTGATCATGCACAGAGGATCTTTATCCACGCACACAGCCAGCAGGCGGACAATGTTTGGGTCCCTCAGATGAGACATGATTCGTATTTCCTTCAGGAAGTCGTTCCTGCAGGATGAAGAGCAGTTTGCAACATGGCTGACGAGAGGATGGACAGAATTGCTCATCCAGCTACCCTTACCTGGCGTTCTTGTTCGCATCTTCTCGCAGTTTTTTCACAGCTACGAGCAGAGACTCTTGGTTACCTTCAGCTGATAAATCCTCATCCAAAAAGTCCCTTAGACCCTCAGCTTCACACAAGTGCACCTGTGTAGAACAGCAGCAATGCTTCCACTGTAACAATTTTTAATTACATGGTCTAATAGTTTTGCACACACTGGGCTCTTAAAGATATATTTTTGTATTCTCCTTGAAGTGACACAATGATGTCAACAAGAGAAAGGGTTCATTTAAAACAAACAGGGCTGAAAAAAAGTACTTCTCCAAACTGGCCCTCTCCCAGTTTCTCCTTGAAGGTGAGGTTCTCTCTGGGAAACTCCCTCATGGCTGATTCGGCTCCAGTGATCAGATTGTTGCTGGCAGCTGTGATGGAAAACGTGCCGCTGTCTGAAGACTCCTGCACGCTGATGATGTCCGCCTCTGCATAGTGTGGAGCACTGTCCGAACCGCCCACTGCTCTGCAGGAGGTTCCACACTCTGGAAGGCAAACAGCTTTCAGGACCTGAAGCTTTAGTTGAGTTGACCTCCAAGAAAGGCCACGGGAAGGAGAGGCGCTATAGGGGCTGCAGCACCTCTTGATTTATCTCAGAAGACACACATGTCCAAATACATAGTTAAATACTTCATGAAAAAATGACGAAACCGGGTTTTATTAAGGCTGCTCGTGTTAAAAATTCCAGTAAATTTTGATATTATTGAATTGTATAGATTAGTTTGTGAACCCTTATTATATTATTATGAGTGTTTATCTGAGTACAAAATATTTGAAACCCACAGCAAATGGACAGATTAGCATTAGGTCATGAGTGCAATTTTAAAGATACCATCTGTTCAAAATGTGCATCATTTCTTAAAGTGTATTCTGACCGAAGGCAACATGCACGGTCAGTGTGCACGTGCATTGCACATATTTGTGTGCTCACTGAGCAACCACACTGTTTTCTGTTGAGTGTTAATCAAATTACTTATGCAAACTTTGTGCTTTTTACCCATTAACATAATAAAATATTCACTTGAATTGGAAATAAGCTGCTGAGTTTTGTTTTTGTAAACTATTAAATTTTTTTAAACGTTATTAAAAATAAACTTCCCCATTATAATGCGTTAGGATCTTGTTAGTTCTTCAAAACCACTCTTCTCTTCTGCTTAAGAAAAATGTATCGTTTTGGATGTTACTTTTAGCTTTTAACTAAAACGCAGCATAAAAAGTTTTTTGTTTTATTTTTTAATTTTTTTTAATTGTTAAACACTTTGGTAACAGGGGCTGTTTTAAATGTGATTTATAATTGACTTTAGCTACAGCAAGGCTAGTATTAGCTTTTACCTATGGTTTTCCTGACTAGCTTTTTGCAAGAGTCTTGCTAATTTCAGCTGGTGCAACTGGTAGAGCTGCTGCCTCTCAGCGAGCAGGTCCCTGGTTCAAACCCCGGTCCAGAGGCCTTTCTGGGTGGAGTTTGCATGTTCTTTCCGTGCATGCGTGGGTTTTCTCCGGGTACTCCGGTTTCCTCCCACAGACCAAAAACATGCATGTTAGGCTGATTGGTAACTCTAAAATTGTCCCTAGGTGTGAGTGAGAGAGTGAATGGTTGTTTGTGTCGTTTGTCTCTATGTGTCCCTGTGATGGACTTGTGACCCGTCCAGGGTGTACCCCGCCCTTAGCACAGTGATTGCTGAACATGGGCACCAGCGACCCCCGTGACCCAAACATGGAGTAAGCAGGTAAAGATAATGGATGGATGGATAGCTACAGTTTTGCTCATTTTAACTTTTAGTTGCAGTTTAGCTAACTTTAGCTTGAAGCTATTGTTTTGCTTATTTTAGCTTTAAGACACAGTTGAGTTAATTTTAGCTATCATTTAGTTGATTGTAGCTAAAATATTTCCAAGTTCAGATTTTAGCTTCTGTTTAGCTAATTCTAGCATTTAGTTGTTGTTTTTACTAGTTTTAGCATGTAATTACTCTTTAGTTAATTTTAACTTTTAGCTGTTTTTATTAGTTTGAGCTTATAATTAATGTTTAACTAATTTCAATCTTTAGTTACAGCTTTGTTCATTTTAAATTTTTGCTGCAGTTAGCTAACTTTAGCTTGAAGCTATTGTTTTGCTTATTTTAGCTTTTAGCCTCTGTTGAGTTAATTTTAGCCAACTGGATTTTTAGCTAAAGGGTTTTCAAGTTCAGCTTTTATATTCTGTTTTGCTAATTCTAGCATTTAGCTGTTGTTTTTACTAGTTTTAGCTTGTAATTATTCTTTAGTTAATTCTAGTATTTAGCTGTTTTTACTAGTTTTAGCTGTAATTAGCATTTAGCTAATTCTAGCATTTAGCTGTTGTTTTACCAGTTTTAGCTTGTAATTACTCTTTAGCTAATTCTAGCATTTACCTGTAGTTCTTGTTTTTACTAGTTTTAGCTTGTAAATACTTTTTAGCTAATTCTAGCATTTAGCTGTTGTTTTGACTAGTTTTAGCTTGTAAATACTCTTTAGCTAATTCTAGCATTTAACTGTTGTTTTTGCCAGTTTTAGCTTGTAATTACTCTTTAGTTAATTCTAGCATTTAGCTGTTGTTTTTACAAGTTTTAGCTTTTAAATACTCTTTAGCTAATTCTATCAATTAGCCATTGTTGTAGTAATTTTAGCTTGTAATTTCTCTTTAGGTAATTCTAGCATTTAGCTGTTGTTTTTACTAGTTTTAGCTTGTAATTAACATTTAGCTAATTCTAGCATTTAGCTGTTGTTTTTACCAGTTTTAGCTTGTAATTACTCTTTAGCTAATTCTAGCATTTACCTGTAGTTGTTTTTTTACTAGTTTTAGCTTGTAAATACTCTATCTAATTCTAGCATTTAACTGTTGTTTTTAACTACTTTAGCTTGTAAGTATTCTTTAGCTAATTCTAGCATTTAGTTGTTGTTTTCACTAGTTTTAGCTTGTAATTTCTCTTCAGCTAATTCTAGCATTTAGCTGTTGTTTTTACTAGTTTTAGCTTGTAATTAATGTTTAATCCATTTTAGCTTTAAGATGCTGCTTAACTATTTTTTGCATTTCGCTTCAGTTTTGCTAGTTTTATTTTTTAGCTACTGTTTTTCTGATTTTAGCACCTGCTTGCTTTAACATTCGGCATGTGGCGTTCACATGGTCTAGCTGGTATGATCCTCTTGTCATGAGGCTTTGGGTTCATATTAATGTCAGTTCTCACCGCCCTTCAAACCTGTTTCATTTAGGATGCTTCAGTTTACCGAGGTGTTCGGTGGACTGGGTGAACTCGGGCAGCTTTCGAATGAGGCCAGAAGGCTCCTGGTAGTCGGCACTGAGGGGGTAGATCCTGTCGTAGGTGGAGGTGGACCCAGCCTCGCTGGACAGAGAGGAGTGCTGGAAGGAGAAGGCCCGGGTCTGCACGGCCAGACGGGTCGTGAGCTCATCATCCAACAAGCGGCGAGACGCCTAGAAATCCAAAAACTGAACTTTTTATTCGGTCGTGTGTTCGAGTGAAAAGTCCATATGGCTCATTAAGTATTTTTTAAAAACACAAACAAACAAACAAAATTTTTTCTAAAGACATAAAAAATGTACGTGCTTGATTGGAACCAATAATATAAATAACTAAATAAAAATAAAAGCAGCAACCCCATTTTGATGCAAAAACTGTTTAAAGGCAAATAAACACTGAGTGAAGCTGCTCAGTTCATCAGGGTCTCCATGGTAACCAGGGCTTCAACATGTTTTTTAAACTTCGGTTCTTTTTACTTTTTTTTTTTTTACATTTATTGCCTAAAATGTGCTCATTTTGTCATCTTAGATCAGTGGTTCTGAAGGCTGGACCACAATCGTGACAAAAGTAGGGGTCTTTAGATCATCTCCAGATATCAATTTACACTCAATGTTTATGAAATATTTTCACCACAGCTGTTACAAAAGACAGCAGTCATGAACTGTTATGTACTGTATATACCATATATACCATTTTCTGATTCAAGACAATAAAAATACCTTTTTATTTTTGTAATGTTTTAACAATGTACATTTCAAATGTTTAAACTGCATCCCTGTTCATTTTGTTATTCCCATCTGTTTATTCATCTTCCAAAGGTTTGTGTCAGCTGGTTTTGTTCTGACTGTATGCAGCTCTCTGAGCTTCTTTGTCCACGCTGCATGAACCGAGCAGACAAGTCCAGTAATGTTATGAAATAGAACAACAATAAAAAAAAAGGTCTCCTCACCTTTTCAAGCATCTTTTGCCAGACCTGCCGCCACAGTATGATGACTATGATGGTTGATAGGATGGCAATGATAGCTACCAAGCAGCCAATCAGGATCCTTGTATTGCTGTCATCCACTTTGTGAGTGGGATCATCTACCAAAGAAGATGACAATTAGGATGGCATAGTCTGATAAGTAAATTAATTTAGCTCAATCCTTTTGTTTGATCTACAAATTAAATGTTATTGTGATCTGTAGTTTCAGATGTAGCCAGCAGGGGGCAGTGTCTGATTAGAAAACACTTTCTTACATGATCTTTTATTTGCACTTCAAAGTAAGCTGCTGACCTGGTGGTGTGTTTGCATGAAGTCCATGTTTGTGAGATGACAGTGATGTGTTGTAAACTGCAGAGACGGTGAGACAAGAAGGAGGAACAATACAATCAAAGAGCATGTTGAGTCAACATGACGGCACTATGTTGTGGAATTGAAGATTTTAAGGAGACACCCAACAGCTTTTACCTGACTGGAAGGCAACCTCACTGAACAGCATCCACTGATCGCTGAAGTGAAAACGACACTTGATGCTCCTGGCTGTCCGACCTCCGAGCGGCACCGTGACAAAATGAGCATCTTGGCTCATGTTCTCCACAGCCGGCCTGAATGTGACTGGGTCAGCCTCCCACTCTGATCCTGACCTGAAGTAACATGTGACCTGTCTGAACACCCTCACTCCACGGCTCAGCATGTTGTTGCAGTGAACCTGTGGGAGTGGAAACTAATTTTTAGTTACAGTCTTGGAATCATTAATATGCAACCATTGTTTAACTTCATTGATGTAACTCTGATTTATAATTTTTTAAACTTTGCAGGATTGTGTAGAAGACATAAACCACCTTTCATTTATTTGCATTATGTGCTGAAGGAGAGAAACTTTGAAAGTCTTTTGAGGTGTAAAATTTGGGTTTCAAAGTTTTTCTTTAGAAATTATCTTCTTTTCCATTTTTCAATCAAGACTGTTGAGCATTTTAGCTAAATGGAGCTTTTGTTTGGTAATTAAGTAATAAGTGAAAAACCGTGGAGTAGGAATAGTAGTACACATAGTAAGTAGTAGTTTAGTTTACAGTCTATCTATCTATCTATCTATCTATCTATCTATCTATCTATCTATCTATC